TGGATGGTAACATATATATTGTCAGACTGTGATGATGAATGTGGAGCCCAGCCTCTGCCTGTCTTCGCCTGTAGGTCTACGCCGACTGAGAGGGAGGCAGAGGTACGAGCCTACACATGCGCATCCCGTGACATCACACAAAGTCACAGGCCTACAAGGGATCTCCTATCTAAAGCACATGGATGATACTAATAAGCTATGCTATATAACACAGGGATCAGCATCTATGCTGACAAGTCGACTACTGGGAATGTCACGACGAACGACACCAAGGAAGGTAAGAATATTGTTGTTGTTGGGGATAGCCAAGTTAGGTATATGGATAGGGCGTTCTGCTTGAAGGACAGGAGTAGGAGACAGAGGGTTTGCTTTCCTGGGGCTGGGATGGAGGATATTGTTAGCCGTCTGGATGACATCATGAGAGGTAATGGGAGCAAACCTATTTCTGTCTCAGTGCTGGAGGCAACGATGTTGGCAGACGTAGGAGTGAAGACCTGATTAGCAGGTATAGGTCAGCAATAGAAATAATTAGGAGGAAGGGTGGGAACCCTGTCATATGTGGTATTTTGCCAAGGAGAAGAGTTGGAAATGAATGGTTGTCCAGGGCAATTGGTGTCAATTGCTGGCTGGACAAATACTGTAAGGAAAATGCAGTAACATTCATTGACAACCGGGACCTCTTCTATGGCAGAAATGACATGTATGCCAGGGATGGGGTTCACTTATCTAGGTCTGGGGTGGGAGCACTGGCAACTGCAGTGGAGGGAGCTGTTAGGACTTTAAACTAGGAATAGTTAGTGGTATGGGTTTTGGCAGGAAAGCAGTGAAGTCCCAGTGTAGTAATATTATGAGTTCTAGGGGAACTAGTAATAAGCAGAACGAGGTAGATATTGAAAAGCCAGTGACACTGGGTGATAAGGACAGTAATAGGTTTAGTAGAAAAAACTGAAATGAGCAGGAAGGGTAAAGAGAAAGGAGAGTCTTTCAATGTTCATTATGCTAATAGCCGTAGTGCTAGGAATAAGATGGACGAGTTGAGATTAGTTGCTAGTGCAGGTAACATTGATGTATTTGCCTTAACTGAGACGTGGTTTAATTCAAAAAGTTGGGACATGCCTGTGGAATGTCATATTCAGGGTTTTAAATTGTTCCAAGTAGATAGAAGTATCGGGAAGGGGGGTGGGGTGAGATTGTATGTCCGAGATCGCTTGAATTGTTGCATAAAAACGGGTATTAAGTCTGAAGTAACACATACAGAGTCTGTTTGGATAGAATTTTTAGAGGGGCATGAAAAACTGATTTTAGGAGTGATATACCGTCCCCAAAACTTAGATAGGGACCAAGGGAGACTGCTATGGGAGGAAATTGTTAAGGCCACAAGGCACAATAATGTAGTAATTCTAGGAGACTTTAACTTTAGTCATATTGATTGTAATTTCTTGACTGGGAATTTAGAATCATACAACTTCTTAGAAGTAGTTCAGGATTGTTTTTTGAAGCAGTTTGTGACAGAACCTACAAGGGGAAATAACCTCCTTGACTTAGTTATGGCAAACAATGAATCCCTTGTTAATAATTTAGAAATTTCAGAGGAACTGGGTGCTAGCGACCACAAATCAATTACATTTAGCATTGAATGGAAGTACGACAGTAGCGATAACACAGTAACAGTCCCAGATTTTCGCTTAGCAGATTACGATGGGCTTAGAGAACACTTATCATCTGTTGACTGGGATAACGAAGAGAGCTATCAATATGACAGTTTTCTGAACACTATACATGCTGCTCAAAGAACGTTTATCCCATATAAAGAAATTAGATTAAATAGAAATGACCCAAAATGGATGAATAACAGGCTCAAATATCTATTAGGGCATAAGAAAGGAATTTATAGGCGTATCAAAAGAGGTGAGGGTCATCTTATGAATCAGTATATTGACATTAAGAGGGACATTAAAAGGGGATAAGAAAAGCTAAAAGGGACTATGAAATTAAAGTTGCTAGGGATTCTAAAACTAACCCAAAAAGTTTTTTCCAGGTATATAGAACAAAAGTTAGAGAAATGATAGGTCCCCTTAAAAATAACTATGGGCATCTTACTGACAAAGAGAATGAAATGTGCTCGATTTTAAATAATTATTTTCTCTCGGTTTTTACACAGGAAGACACTAACAATATTTCAGTAATTAATTTTTATAGTGGGCAAGAAGAAGATAAATTATGTAACATCACAGTCACTAGTGAAATGATTGTGAAACAGATAGACAGACTGAAGCAAAATAAGTCGCCAGGTCCTGATGAGGTTTTCTCAAGGGTTCTTAAGGAATGCAAAATGAAACTCTGTGAAACATTAACTAATATATTTAATTTATCTCTTCAAACAGGTGTAGTGTCTAATATGTGGAAGAAGGCTAATGTAATTCCTATTTTTAAAACAGGGGACAAGTCGTTACCGTCAAATTACCGCCCAATAAGCCTGACCTCAATTGTAGGCAAATTACTAGAGTCAATTATAGCTCAGATTATAAGAAGCCATCTCGATAAGCATAGCTTGATTAATGATACTCAGCATGGATTCACAAGAGGCCGGTCTTGTCTAACTAATTTATTAACTTTCTTCAGTAAAGCTTTTGAGGCTGTTGACCACGATAAAGAATTTGATATTATTTACTTAGATTTTAGTAAGGCTTTTGATAGAGTTCCGCACCATAGACTGTTAAAGAAAGTGGCAGCTCATGGCATTGGGGGAAAAGTGCTCTCGTGGATCGAGTCATGGCTCACAGACAGGAAGCAGAGAGTGTCCATAAATGAGGTTAAATCCGAGTGGGGATCTGTAACAAGTGGCGTTCCACAGGGATCTGTCTCGGGCCAGTTGTTGTTTATAATATATATCAATGACCTTGATGAGGGAATTACTAGTGATATGAGCAAATTCGCCGATGACACAAAGATAGGTAGGATAATTGATTCAAACGTAGACGTTAGGGAACTTCAGGAGGATTTAAACAAACTCTATTCTTGGTCAGAAAAGTGGCAGATGCAGTTCACTGTAGATAAATGCAAGGTTCTGAAGCTCGGGAGTGTCCATAACCCTAGCACTTATAAGTTAAATGATATAGAACTTAGCCATACAGATTGCGAAAAGGACTTGGGGGTTATGGTGAGCAGCAACCTTAAACCAAGACAGCAATGCCTAAGCGTACGTAATAAGGCAAATAGATTACTGGGATTTATATCAAGAAGTGTAAGCAACAGAAGTCCAGAGGTCATACTGCAGCTTTATACATCATTAGTAAGGCCTCACCTAGATTATGCAGCTCAATTCTGGTCTCCATATTACAGAATGGACAATAAATTCGTTAGAAAACATTCAGCGTAGGATGACTAAATTAATACATAGCATTAGAAATCTTCCTTATGAAGAAGATTGAAGACTCTTAAGTTACATTTACTTGTTAGACGAAGAATGAGGGGAGACCTGATCGAGTGTATAAGTGGAAGATAGGTATTAATAAAGGGGATAATTAACAAGGTCTTGAGGATATCTCTCCAAGAGAGAACCCGCAGTAATGGATTTAAATTAGATAAGTTTAGATTTAGAAAGGACACAGGAAAGTATTGGTTTGGAAATAGGGTAGTTGATGAGTGGAACAGTCTACCTAGTTGGGTTATTGAGGCTAGGACTTTGGGTAGTTTCAAATTTAGGTTGGATAAGTACATGAGTGGGAGGGGTTGGATTTGAGTGGGACTTGCACATCAGAGCTTATTTCTTGGGTAGCATTGAAAATTGGGTAGGTCAAATGTTTTGTTAATTGGATGAATTATAAAGGACCTGCCTAGTATGGGCCAACAGGCCTGCTGCAGCGTTCCTGCTTTCTTATGTTCTTAAATTAGGTCAGCCTTGTCCCAGGATGCGACCCACACTAGTCCACTAACACCCAGGTACCCATTTTATACTGAGGGGTGAACAGGGACAGCAGGTGTCTTATGGAAACACGTCCGAATGCTTTCCAGACCTGAGTGAGTGCACTAGCGGTCGAGCTATAGAGGGTGAAGTTAAGAGAGTCCCAGTGATTTGTCATTAAGTAAATGATAGGAAAGACATTCTAACACGTCACCAGATATATTACGCTCGCACTTGACATCTGGTGTACAGATGTCACTGTTGTACATTACTGAGTTACATGGGAATTGCTAAGGTCCAACCACCACTCCTTAATTTATTCATTCAATATTTCACGGACACAGCAAGCTTTCGCTGTACAAACATTGACATTTACATTAGCCACCCCAAAATTTTATATTACACAGTTCAAAACAGTGAGTTCCGCTTCAAATTTATGTTCTCAAAATAATTATTTCTTTACTTAAAATTGTTGTTAGGTAAGACACGTATGCAACAGTTAGGTATCTTTATTACGAAACGTTTCGCCTACACAGCAGGCTTCTTCAGTCGAGTACAGAAAAGTGATAGAAGCAGAAGAGACTTGAAGACGATGTAATCAGTCCATCACCCTTAAAGTTTTGAGGTGGTCAGTCCCTCAGTCTGGAGAAGAGCATTGTTCCGAAGTCTGAAACAATTAAAATTGCTTATTAATTCAGACTCTATACTCCTGATACCTGCTGGTGTAATGACACTTACACTACACCTACTCAACACATTCCAGTTTTCATCATACTCACACAGTTCTAGAATCAACAAATTTAAATTTGTTTTTGTAGTTGTTTATTCATCTAAACTACAATTCCTTATTTGCTTTTGCTGTCTTGTAAAAATCTTGTGCAGTCCCGTTAACTCCTTCCTTTTAAAACTTCCTCAAACCTTTCAAGTTTGATTTATTGTTTGCGTAAACATTCCGATGCCTTGCTTTCATAACATCAACAATGTATCGATTTAAATACATAATATCATAAGCATGCACCAGTTCCGAGGAGCTAGTTCACCTGAGTGTAATTACAAGACATTTGGTTTGTTTATACACATTCCATGTGACCCACAGATCCGACGGAGCCAGTACACTTGGGGTGGGAATCACCCAACAGTTCCTCGCTGGAGCTGTGGTGGGAGCCTCCTCGAAGACCAAATGGACTGATCGACCACTACCTGGTGACAGTCACCCTCTTGGTCGACACTCCAAGAATACCGCCAGACCTGGATTTCTGTAATCATGAAAGTATGTTAGGTGTATGAGACGTTATGGTAACCAGGGTCACTCTTCTGTTTGTTGTAGTGTATGTTAGGTGTATGAGACGTTATGGTAACCAGGGTCACTCTTCTGTTTGTTGTAGTGTATGTTAGGTGTATGAGAACGTTTATGGATACCAGGGTCACTCTTCTGTTTGTTGTAGTGTATGTTAGGTGTATGAGACGTTATGGTAACCAGGGTCACTCTTCTGTTTGTTGTTGATGCTTGTATGAGACACTTGTTGATGCTTGTATGAGACACTTGTTGTTGACGCTTGTATGAGACACTTTTTGTTGATGCTTGTATGAGACACTTTTTGTTGATGCTTGTATGAGGACACTTGTTGTTGTGCTTGTATGAGACACTTGTTGTTGATGCTTGTATGAGACACTTGTTGTTGATGCTTGTATGAGACACTTTTTGTTGATGCTAGTATGAGACACTTGTTGTTGATGCTTGTATGAGACACTTGTTGTTGATGCTTGTATGAGACAATTGTTGTTGATGCTAGTATGAGACACTTGTTGTTGATGCTTGTATGAGACACTTGTTGTTGATGCTTGTATGAGACATTGTTGTTGATGCTAGTATGAGACACTTTTGTTGATGGCTTGTATGAGACACTTGTTGTTGATGCTTGTATGAGACACTTGTTGTTGATGCTTGTATGAGACACTTGTTGTTGATGCTAGTATGAGACACTTGTTGTTGATGCTTGTATGAGACACTTGTTGTTGATGCTTGTATGAGACAATTGTTGTTGATGCTAGTATGAGACACTTGTTGTTGATGCTTGTATGAGACACTTGTTGTTGATGCTAGTATGAGACACTTGTTGTTGATGCTAGTATGAGACACTTGTTGTTGATGCTTGTATGAGACACTTGTTGTTGATGCTTGTATGAGACACTTGTTGTTGATGCTTGTATGAGACACTTGTTGTTGATGCTAGTATGAGACATTGTTGTTGATGCTTGTATGAGACATTGTTGTTGATGCTTGTATGAGACACTTGTTGTTGATGCTTGTATGAGACACTTTTTGTTGATGCTTGTATGAGACACTTGTTGTTGATGCTAGTATGAGACACTTGTTGTTGATGCTTGTATGAGACACTTGTTGTTGATGCTTGTATGAGACATTTTCATGTTGATGCTTTGTGATGTGAGACATTTGTTGTGTGATGAGCTTGTTGTAGGACACTTTTTGTTGATGCTTGTATGAGACACTTTTTGTTGATGCTTGTATGAGACATTTGTTGTTGATGCTTGTATGAGGCATTTGTTGTTGATGCTTGTATGAGACACTTGTTGTTGATGCTTGTATGAGACACTTGTTGTTGATGCTTGTATGAGACACTTGTTGTTGATGCTTGTATGAGACATTTCATGTTGATGCTTGTATGAGACACTTGTTGTTGATGCTTTGTATGAACACTTGTTGTTGATGCTTGTATGAGACATTTCATGTTGATGCTTGTATGAGACACTTGTTGTTGATGCTTGTATGAGACACTTGTTGTTGATGCTTGTATGAGACATTTCATGTTGATGCTTGTATGAGACATTTGTTGTTGATGCTTGTATGAGGCATTTGTTGTTGATGCTTGTATGAGACATTTCATGTTGATGCTTGTATGAGACATTTGTTGTTGATGCTTGTATGAGACACTTGTTGTTGATGCTTGTATGAGACACTTGTTGTTGATGCTTGTATGAGACATTTCATGTTGATGCTTGTATGAGACATTTGTTGTTGATGCTTGTATGAGACACTTGTTGTTGATGCTTGTATGAGACACTTGTTGTTGATGCTTGTATGAGACATTTCATGTTGATGCTTGTATGAGACATTTGTTGTTGATGCTTGTATGAGGCATTTGTTGTTGATGCTTGTATGAGGCATTTGTTGCTGATGCTTGTATGAGGCATCAAGTGTTACTGTGCACCAAACCATCGATGTGTGAGGGTAACCGTATTGTGTTCCAGACCATTGACATTTTTATTAACACATCGGCCGTTTCCTACCAAGGCAGGGTGAGCCGAAAAAGAAAAACTTTCACCATCATTCACTCCATCACTGTCTTGCCTGAGGTGCGCTTACACAACAGTTATAAAATCAACATTAACGTCCCTTCTTCAGAGTGCAGGCACTGTACTTCCCATCTCTAGGACTCAAGTCCAGCCTGCCGGCTTCCCTGAATCCCTTCATAAATGTTACCTTGCTTACACTCCAACAGGACGTCAAGTCCTGAAAACCATTTGTTTCCATTCACTCCTATATAACATGCTCACGCATGCTTGTTGGAAGTCCAAGCCCCTCGCACGCAAAACCACCTTTACCCTTTCCCTCCAACCTCTCCTAGGCCGACTCCTACCCCATCTTCCTTCCACTACAGATTTATACACTCTCGAAGTCATTCTATTTCTTTCTACATCTCTACATGTCTGAACCACATCAACAATCCCTTCTCAGCTCTCTGGATAATAGATTTGGTAATCCCACACCTCCTCCTAATTTCCAAACTACGAATTCTCTGCATTATATTTACACCACACATTGCCCTCAGTCATGACATTTCCACTGCCTCCAGCTTTCTCCTTGTTGCAACATTCACCACCCATGCTTGACACTCATATAAGATTCTTGGTGTAACTATACTCTCATATACTCCTCTCTTTGCTTCCAGGAGAAAGTTTTTTGTCTCCACAGACTCCTCAGTGTACCACTCACCTTTTCCTCTCGTCAATTCTATGATTCACCATTCATATGTGTGGGTAACATTACTGTGTACCAGACCAATGACATGTGAGCTTATTGCGTATTAGCTTGGGTATACCTGAAGAGGGTTTCGGGGGTCAACGCCCCCGCGGCCCGGTCTGTGACCAGGCCTCATGGTGGAGTAGGGTCTCATCAACCAGGCTGTTTCTGTTTGCCGCACCCGAGTACAAACCACAGCCTGGCTGGTCAGGTACTGACTTTAGGTGCATGTCCAGCGCCTTCTTGAAGACAGTCAAGGGTTTATTGGTAATACCCATTATGTATGCTGGGAGGCAGTTGAACAGTCTTGGGCCCCTGACACTTTCTGTGTTGTCTTTTATCGTGATAGAGGCGTCCCTGCTTTTCACTGGAGCGATGTTGCACCATTTGCTAAGTCTTTCATAAGGGCGATTTTCTTGTTCAAGTTTGGTGCTAATGCCTCTAGGATTTTCCAAGTCTATATAATCATGTATCTATCTAGCCTGCATTCTAGGAAGTACAGGTTGGGGAACTTTAAGCGTTCCCAGTAATTGAGTGAAGGTTCTCTGTAAATCTTCTAGGTCAGCAATTTCACCTGCCTTGAAAGTTGCTGTTAGTGTGCAGCAATATTCCAGCCTAGATAGAACAAGCGACCTGAAGAGTGTCATCATGGGCTTGGCATCCCTAGTTTTGAAGGTTCTCATTATCCAGTGTCATCATGGGCTTGGCATCCCTAGTTTTGAAGGTTCTCATTATCCATCCTGTCATTTTTCTAGCAGATGAGACTGATACAATGTTGTGGTCCTTGAAGGTGAGATCCTCCGACGATTATCACTCTCAGATCTTTTACATTAGGTTTCCGCTCTATTGTGTAGTTGGAATTTGTTATATACTCTGATACAGTTCTAATTTCCTCACGTTTCCCATATCGCAGTAATTGAAATTTCTCATCATTGAACTTCATACTGTCTTCTGCGTCCCATTTAAAGATTTAGTAGATGTCCTCCTGGAGTCTTGCAGTGTCTTCAAGGGGAAGCACTGTCATGCAAAGTCGGGTGTCATCTGCATCGGAAGACACACTCTGTGGCTTACATCCTTGTCTATGTCAGATATGAGGATGAGGAGCAGAATGGGAGCGAGTACTGTGCCTTGTGGAACAGAACTTTTCACCGTAGCCGCATCTGGCTTTACTCTGTTCACTACTACTTATTATATTCTATTTGTGAGGAAATTATAGATCCATCTGCCAACTTTTCCTGTTATTCCTTTATCAGTCATTTCGTGCACTTTTACAACATGGTCACACTTGTCAAAGGCTTTTGCAAAGTCTGTGTTCACTACATCTGCGTTTTGTTTGTCTTCTAGAGCATCCAGGACCTTGTCATAGTGGTCCAGTAGTTGGGACAGGCAGGAGTGACCTGCTGTTGCATGTTGCCCTGGGTTGTGAAACTGATGGGTATCTAGGTGGGTGGCAATCTTGCTTCTTAGAACCCTTTGAAAGATTTTTATGATATGAGTTGTTAGTGGTATCGGTCTGCAGTTCTTTTACAATTGCTTTACTGCCACCTTTGTGGAGTGGGGCTATGTCTGTTGTTTTTAGCAGCTGTGGGACGACCCCCGTGTCCATACTCCCTCTCCATAGGATGTTAAAAACACATGATAGGGGCTTCTTGCAGTTCTTGATTAATATGGAGTTCCATGAGTCTGGGCCTGAGGGCTGAGTGCATAGACATGTCATTTTCGCCTTTTGAAAGTCATCTGGCGTCAGAATAATATCAGATAGGTTTGAGTCTACCAAATTCTGTGTTTCGCTCATAAAAATCTCATTTAGTATTTGACTCTGTCAGGTTAGCGACTCGCTAAAAATCGAGTCATATTGGGACTTGAGTAGCTCACTCATTTCCTTACTGTCATCTGTGTAGGACCCATCTTAAGTAGGTTCCCAATACTGGATGTTGTTCTCGACTTTGATTTGGTATAAGAAAAGAAATATTGTGGGTTTATTTCATATTCATTTATGGCTTTTAGTTCTTCCCGCTTTTCGTGACTCCTGTAAGATTCCTTTAGCTTAAGTTCGTTGTCTGCTACTTCTCTGACCAGTACCTCCCTTCGTATTAGATATATTGGCCTTTTTTAGTTGCTCTGTTATTTGTTGCCATCGCCTGCATAGGGCGCGCCTTTCTCTTTCTAGTTTACATCTTCTCTTAAATGAATATGCTTTGAACATACCTCAAGTGCCACATAGTTAATTTGTTCTAGTCTGATCAGAGCATTAACATATAAGAAAAATCTTGTTGTGTGGCACAGGAAGTTCTTGCTGTCAATTGTCTTTTTCATTGCAAAACAAGAGAAAAACTAATTTGCCTCCTCTTGTACTTTTTTTGACAAAAAATTGTCGCACGAAATTTGGTAATTCCTGTTAATGTATGTAGGTGTGTATACATTGTGCGTTTATACCGATAAATATTTGCATATGCATGTTTGGTTGCATATAATGTTTTCTAATCAGCAAGGGACTACGTCGACACCAAGATGGTGGTCATGGATGACGTTGAGGGCAGAGAGACGGTAAGGGGAACTACACAGCCATGGAAGGAGCCTCAGGGAAAGGCTGCAGGCGTGGGTAGTGAGGACTCGTGCAGTGTCACGCCAACTCCCACGCCTTCCTGCTGCCCCTGTCAGGACGCTGGTGCTGCTGACGATCAGGAGGTGATTGGCCAGATAGGCTTTGAAGATTTTATCATGGACAACGTGTACATTAAGAAGTGAGTTGCGAAGAAATCAAAGACATGAATTTCTCACTATTATGATTCAACTTACAAAGAATTACTTTTTTCATACAAAGACATATTTTAAATACTGCTCAGTATTTTATTTATTAAATTATTTAATAATTTGTAAAGAAACAAAGTCAGATACCACGTAAATAACATGTCGTTGATGAAAGTTAACGAAATATTAAGCCAGATCTTATACTTGATATTAAAAATCTGTAATTCGTAGGTATTCATTCCTTTTATGTACGATTTTATAAAGCATCAACCACGATCAAATTAAGTTTTGAATGTTCGTCGTCAGGATCCAAAGATCACGAAGAGCACCTCATGGGAGCATCCTTGGTGATGAAGAGTTTGAGACTACACTTCGGACGGACCAGCTGCACTCCAAGAACACTCTCCTGAAGACAGTAGAGAGCAGAGTGCTGAAAACTGATTACTCATCCCTTGAGGATCCCGCTAGTGATGGAATCTCCAGACTGCTGCCGGTTCCAAATGAAAGCGAAAAGGAGTTTCCCTTCCACCATGGACAGACAGTGCATGAATTTCCATCCCACGCAGGAATCCAAGCTGATTACCAAGCCCACGAGGAAAACCTGACCCACTACGACATTCATCACCCACAACACAGTCAGTAATCGCATTTTTTTTTCTTTCCGCCAATGGTTGGGATTTTTCCATTAAACTTATTGGATTTTTTAAAATAATGTTAAATGATTCCTTTGTATTCTTGTGTGTGTGTGTGTGTGTGTGTGTGTGTGTGTGTGTGTGTGTGTGTGTGTGTGTACTCACCTAATTGTACTCACCTAATTGTGGTTGCAGGGGTCGAGACTCAGCTCCTGGCCCCGCCTCTTCACTGATCGCTACTGGGTCCTCTCTCTCTCTGCTTCCTGAGCTTTGTCATACCTCTTCTTAAAACTATGTATGGTTCCTGCCTCCACTACTTCACTTGCTAGGCTATTCCACTTGCTGACAACTCTATGACTGAAGAAATACTTCCTAACGTCCCTGTGACTCGTCTGAGTCTTCAGCTTCCAGTTGTGACCTCTTGTCCCTGTGTCCCCTCTCTGGAACATCCTATCTCTGTCCACCTTGTCTATTCCCCGCAGTATCTTGTATGTCGTTATCATGTCTCCCCTGACCCTTCTGTCCTCCAGTGTCGTCAGTCCGATTCCCTTAACCTTTCCTCGTACGACATTCCCTTGAGCTCTGGGACTAGCCTTGTTGCAAACCTTTGTACTTTCTCTAGCTTCTTGACGTGCTTGGACCAGGTGTGGGTTCCAGATGGTGACTGCATACTCCAGTATGGGCCTAACTTCACAGCGTACTGTGTCTTGAACGATTCATTATTTTGTATCGGAACACAAGCTATACTCAGGTTTTTGCCAGGCGCCCGTATGCTGCAGAGTTATTTGGTTGATGGTGTGCCTCCGGTGAGGTGCTCGGTGTTTGGTCACCCAAGATCTTTCTCTCCTGAGTGAGGTCTGTAGTCTTTGGCCACCTAGCTATACTCTGTTGCGGTCTTCCTTTGCCCCTCCCAATCTTCATGACTTTTGCATTTGTGGTTTTGAATCGAGAAGCAGTTACTGGTCCACATGTCCATGCCTGTTCCCAGGTCTCTTTGCAGTCCTGCATATCCTAGTCCGATTTAATTCTTCTCATCAATTCACGTCATCTGCGAACAAGGACACTTCAGAGTCTATTCCTTCCCATCATGTCGATTCAACATATATCAAAAAAATAGCACTGGTCTAGAACTGACCCCTGTGGGACCCGTCGTAACAGGCGCCCTATGTCCACCCGTTACCTCTTCACATTACCAATGGACTCGTTGCCTGCTCCCTAGTTAGTATTTCCCTTATCCATTGCAGTGCCCTACTTTTACATGGCTGGATCCTCCAGCTTATGCCACTAATCTCTTGTGGGGAACTTGTTGTCAAAGGCCATTCCTTGCAGTCTTAGGAAAACTCAAATTCTACCCACCCCTCTCTCTCGTGTCTTACTTCTCTGTTACACCTTGTCATAAAACTCCAGGTGGTTTGTGATACCAGATTTGCCTTCCCTTGAACCATGTGGTTTTCATTATAATCTAGTTCCTTTCCAGGGCTGTTCGATCACTCTCTCCTGATTATCTTCTCCATGTCTTTGCACACAATACGTGTCAGAGACACAGGTCTGTAGTTTAGTGCTCGTTTCTGTTTCCTTTCTTAATATGGAGACTACATTAGTGTCTTCCATTTCTCAGGTATTTGCCTGTTTCAAGGGACGTGTTGAGATTGTGGTTAGAGGCTCACGCAACAGCATCTCTGATCATTCTCTTAAGGACCATGGAAGATGTTGTCCGGTCCTCATCGCCTTTGAGGTGTCAGGTCACTAAGAGCTTCTTCACCTCCTCCTCAGTTGTTACGTATGTCATAAAACACTTGTTGGCTTATTCCCTCTTGATGTTCCATTCTGTGCTGTCTTCCCCACAATGCCCTTCCTGTCTCTACTCGTAAAAACTTCCTTAAATCTCCTGTTCAGCTCTCTCAACTATACCTACTGATCATTTCTTGTGAGTTCCTCCACCTTTGTCCTTAATCTGTGACCTGGTCTTTGATGCTGTCTTCCTCTTGATGTGGATATACAACTGTTTGGGTCAGGTCTTGATTCTCGATGCTATGTCATTTTCATACCTGCGCTGGGGGGCCTCCATTCCTTACCTGTGCATTCTCATTCCTGGCTCTGCGACTGATCTCCCTTATTTTCGTGGGTTCTCTGCCTTCTTTTACTTTTTCATTCTCTATTCTGACACTTTGTTTTGGCCTCCTTACACCGTCTGTAAACAGGGGCCTCGTGCTGGTCTTCCCGTTGTTACGTTGCCCTTGGGAATATTAAACTTTTCCACTGCCTCTGGCATTTTGTTGTTACATATTCATCATTTCATTTACTGGCTTCCTGCCTGTTCTCTGTCCCACTGGACCTCCCGCTGGAAGGTTCTCAACCCTATGTTGTCCCCTCTTTTATAGTCAGGCTTTTCCCATTTCAACTCTGTTATTCTCTCCACTTGCAGCTCTACTATGTATCAAAAGCACAGCAGAACCACTTTGTTCGCTATTCTCCTAGGGACTATCTTACTTGATGTCCCAATGTACTGAGCTGCCGGGTGCAACCACAAGGTCCATCTTGTGGTCTTCCTACCCTCTCACTTCTGTAGTGTCCTTAACATGTTGGTGCATTAGGTTTCCAGCAACCACGTCCAGCTCTGCTCTGCATGTTTTTCGGGACCCCTATGTGGCTCAGGCTTTCCCAGTGACTATACCTGTGGTTGAATCTCACATAACCAGCAACTTTGCTCTGCGGGAATGAGCTCTCTTGCCACCTCAGCAGTGTGTCACCATTGCTCTGTTGTTCTCTTCATATTCCTCTCTTGGCCTCCTGCAGTTCTTGTGGTGGTTTATACATCACTGCATGACCACTTTGGTGTTCCCAGACTGAACAGTGTACCTGCCTATGTAGTCTCTTTCTCCCGTCTCATCTATGCCTTCCATTTTCTTGAATTTCCCTCTGTTTTTTACGAGCAGAGCAACCCTACCTCCCCCCCTGCCCCTTCTATCTTTCCTCATGATCTGTTATCCTGGTGGGAAGATTGCATCTGTTATTGTCTCCGTGAGTTTTGTTTCTGTAACTGCTATGATGTCTTTGCCAGCCCTTTTGCTGCATGAATATTTGATTGTTGCTGGATTCTTCTTTCCCAGACATTTGCAATCCCATATGTCTTCTCAAAAATGTGGCTGTTGCTCTTTTCCCAATCTCGGGGTGTTATTAGCACCCTTCACTTGAGAGAACTGCTCGGTTTTAAAAACAATTGGCTGCTGCTGGATTCTCTCATCCTAACCCTTGTCAGTTTCCCCCCCCTCCTCATTCAAACATTTTGCTGCTGGTAGATTCCTCTACTCCCCTGCCACTGCCATACCCCTACTTCCCCAAAAAATTGGTTGCTGCTGTATTTCCCCCACACCTACCCTGTGAAAATTTAGGTGCTGCTAAATACCCAAACCTCGGCCCTTGTCAGCGACCCTTGCTAATCGATAATTTGGCTTCTGCTGGATTTCCCCTCTCCAGCCATTGACATTTGCACTTATTCCTCCATAATTTGGTTGCTGCTTGATTGTCTCGCCTGACTTTTGCCAGCCTCCCTGGCTCTTTGATAATTTGGCTGCTGCTGGCTTTCCCTACCTCGGCTCTATCCACCTCCCCTCCCTCTCTTAAAATTTGGCAGCAGCTGGATTCTCCCACCTCAGATCTTTGCAGCCCCCCATAGCTCTTTGAAATTTTGGCTGCAGCTGGATTTCTCAAACTTTGCCATCCCTCTGGCTCCTCAAAAATTTTCTGCTACATTCCTTTACCATGGCCTTTACCAACCCCAAAGCTTCTCAAAAGTTTGCATGCAGTTGGATTAACACCCCTTGTTAGCCTCCCTCTCTCCTCAGAAATATAGCTGCTGCTGTATTCCCACACCCCTGCCCTTGCCAAGCCACTGACTACTTGAAAATTTACCTGTTACAGGATTCCACCACCCCAGCACTTGCAAGCATCTCCCTCCCCATGGATTCCTGAAAAATTTGCTGCTGCTGGATTTTCCCACCCCAGGCTTTGCCATCCTCTCTTAGCTCATCGAAAATTTAGCTGATACAGGATTCCCGTACCTCGAATTTTGCCACCCCATCCCTGGCTTCTTGAGAATTTGGCTACCGCTACCTACTGCTTCACCTCACCTGTCTACAGTATATAAGCCACTTCGTGCGTATGCTGCATCTTTTCAAGATTCATGGAATGATTTCATCGACTCCAAGCTGGGTGACTGATTACCTCAAACTCTCTCTGATCTTCACCATTCTTCTTTGTACAGGACTGATGAAGCCAATGTGTGGCGAAACGTTTCCTAAATGAAGATAACCAAGTGTTGTACACGTGTCTAATTTACTAACTTGTTGGTTCTCTGAAATATTTGTCTACGTTTCTCAAGTATTCGTTCAAGCTGACACTAGTCACAATAGCAACCAACACTTCCCTAAGGGACCTAACCTGGGTAAAATTGAAGCACCATGAAATAGTCAATACAGGAGGTTTACACTATACCCTGTGGAGGCTTCGACAGAATATACGTAGGTGAAACAGAAAGAAACCTCGAAATACGTCTCAATGAACACATAAATGCATGTAGGAACAGTGCCTGTGTACAACACCGGAATTCTGCCAATCACCTCATGAAATTCAACGACGCCGGACTAGTGAACCTAATTTCCGTAGACGTAAGTGCTTTGAATCAACATTAATCGCTATTTATAATACCAATAAGCAAAATAAAGGCAGGTTCATCATCTCTGAAGTATTAGCAAGAATACTACCTACGAACATCAGAAGGAGGAACTGCAGCGTACCTTCTAAATTCAAACCCACATAACAAAAATTATTTTTGCCCAACCAAGTATTTTAAAAAGCTACGCAAGCGACAAGTTCTAATTAATCACATGTATTATTTACTACTACCTCACTACTACTACTACCAATACTCTTTGTAAATTTTTATTGAGCTTACACCCTCACTCTTATACCTACATACCCTCTGCGTCGTGTATTGTAACGGA